AGTAATTGTCCTTAATTGCTGCCAAACTACATAAACTTAAAATATCGAAAAATATACAGCGCGCGAATTTTAAATGAGAATTTCCGAAAACTTTTCGGTCTTAATGTATACATATTTAGTAGGAGATAAGTACGTACAGCAATGTTTAGTTAAGTTTGTCAGGCTCTTAATTCGTAGCTGTTTATATTATATATTGTGTATTCATAAATTCGTTATAGTTTAATTTCAACAATGTAGTTGGATATTTCTTGCTAGATCGAGAGTTAGTCAGATGCTACAGATAACATATGTATGTGACCGTAGTTACAGCGTTAAAAATTAACTTTAGTAAAGACATTTTTAAGAGTTTTCATTTACAACTATATTGATTGATCTACGCAACTGCCGATAATGAAGAGCTTAAATTAGTATGATGCATCAAAGAAAAATATTAATGTAATATAATGCAATGCAAATATTAATAATGCAAGCTTAAAATAGTAATATTTTGTGCAAAGTACCATAGTTCCATGTCAACTTGAAGCCATTGCCGGAACTACCTTCCACACTGCGAAATTTAATCCATATATTTTCAAGTACTACAATCGGAGCTGTCGGCATATTTTTTCCACATAAAGTTGCTAATATTTTACCACGAATTGTAGTTCGAAGCTCCAAAAAGTCATTATTGCAACGATCTGACTCTGCCATAACCAAGTTTACGAAATTGATTTCAATAAAGTTACCCTTCGAAGCTCGTATATCCCAAACACATTCTACATTTGACGGGTAAGTACTAGGATAATAAGGCGACGCTAAAGTTCCACGCAGAGACGTTATAACACCACCACATGAAGTCTGTATGGTGGAGTATGAAGCACGGAAGTTTATAAACTGAGCTTGAATAGTCAAATTACTTGATGCGATAACATGTGATGTGTGCTCCTCACAAAAATTGTGTAATAATGTTTTAGAATCGTCATATATCTTCATTTGAAAAGAAAATTAATATTTATCATTTTAAATTAATTTTTTTTAATTTACCTTTAAACTGTGTAAAGGCTTACCATCACATTCTATATGCAAAATATTTAAATTTATTTGTGAACCTATAAAAAAAGATTAATATAATATTAGTATTATATATTATCAGATTATTTTACCTTCTGTCGCTACAATAACCCATTTGCAATATTTCGAAGAAATGGAGCTAAGAACACCACTGGTATCGGTTAACGTGACATGGCATTCCTATGAGTAATTGTAAAAAAATTCTATTAATAAATGCAAGCATAAATAAACACATTCTTACAAACATCAACATTTGCAAAATAATTACAGAAGCAATTTTACTTCAAATTTACCTCGTAATATGAAAAGGCAAACATTGCAGTACTATTAACATCGGCCTTTACGGTAATACTTATTTGATTTCCTACACTAAACCAAAGATTGTAAAGATCCATTGAAGATACATATTCACTATCACCACAAATTGGTTTTTTTGGTGTCCAAACTCCATTTAATTCTTCACTAATTGTTATGGAAGCACTGGTGCAATTTAATGAGCTCGTCACATTATATCCATTCAATCCATAGAGTATATTTTTACCGTCATCCACTGTTATATACCAAACACATTCGATATTTTTCAGTTTGTCATGAGGGTAGTTGGGTGATGAGATAGTGTTACTGCCTCCATGATAAGTTCCACCACAATCAGCTTTTTTAGTGAAGTATGAAGCTTTAAGAAACTTTTGCTCCCGTCTCTCACTTGTATGAAAATGTATAAATAAACGATTCGCAAATGAAGTGAAAATTAAAGGTTTAATACTTCTTTCGCACTGCTTGTTGAATTCTAAAGCATTGTATGATTCTGATATTATCACATAATCTGAATCACAATGTTTCGAAGAACCAAATTGAATTGAGTTGATATTAAGTACAATTTGTCTATCTGATGGGACCTCTATATACCATCTACAATCGATATCTACACTATATGGAGCATTAGGAGTTTCAATGCGCCCGTTATTATCCGTTAAATGACCACCACATCCAACAACTTTGAACTCTGCATGAAAACCTTTTTTACTGAAGGAGCCATCGCTGAAAAATTTTAATATGAGATGGCTGCCACTGTTTGTAATTGTACTTGTGGGTATTGAACATAAATGTTGAGTGGAAAGTACTTCATCATTACGCATATCTACAACTTCTATGTAATCATACGCACAGTTCAATTTGGAACCTTCTACATCCAAATGAGAAAAAAGAAGAGACATTTTACGACCTCCGCGTAACTCCCAAGCACATTTCAAGTCATATGGATAATTTTCTGGAAAATTAGGAGATTCAATGATGCCCTGCAAACTATTAATGATTACGTTGCAATTCGTTACATAATCCAGTACAAATTTAAGTCCATCTCCATCAGCACTGTAACGTACATGTACTTTGTTTGATGTTGACTGCAATGTTAACACATCTCCGAAATTTGTGCAGTTTAGCTTGAGTGTGGGACTATTTGTTAAGGGACCATCATAAATAGTTAAACTATTTTGTCTACATAAGGCACTTGGATTATTAGAAGTGAGATTAAGATTTATAACGGAACCGGGTGAAACGGTTATACTCCAACTACACACCACTTCACCAGATATTTCCGCATTATGTGGCGAATGTATGGAACCTGAAAATGAATCTAGTTTGCCTCCGCAACCAGTACTTGTTTGCTGCCAAACAATATTGAACCCTTTATCAGAAATATACCAATCCGATACAAAGCGTATATATAACACATTTGTAAAAGATGGTATTCGGTCTGGTATTTTCACTCCACAATATTGACCAATTAATGGAGAATTACTAAACATGCCATTCCTAGAATAAATCGAAAAAAAATAAATATATAATTTTTCTTTAATTAAGTTCTTTAATATTTAACAGTAATTAAATTTAACAGATAATTAAATTTTGAACAAAAAAATGTTTTCTAGCTAAAGTACCCGGTCTGCAACCTGATCTGTTTCTGTATTTCACAGGAAAATGGATTTAAATCGTTTAGGTAAATATGTAGAACATTACGTTACTGCCACCTGGCGCCTAAATTTAATGCCGATCACACAAATGTTGGTACTCGTCTAATGTGTCAGACTAAGGTATAATCCATGTTCGGAGTGATTTCTATATTATAGACAGCCTGACTAACATATGTGTTACAAAGATTTCTTTTTAAATATTTTTGTTGATTTTATGCAGAAGCCTGACCTTTAAAGAGATACTATATATATTACACGTGCTTTTTATCGGTAAAATAAAATAATGGAAACCATATTTTAGCTGCTCTCTATCTTGACAAAGCTTCATGCATGATAAAATCTGTCACAGGAGGCGCTCCTGATATAGAAAAAAAGTATCGTTTATAACTTAGTGGGATACTAATGCAACTAATTTCAAAGACTTTGTTATTTGCTTATTCTGCTTATCACAGATGTGTCCTCTGCATAGCAAATATGTTATATTTTTATTCAAATGATCAATCTCTTAATGGAGTTAAAGTTGTAACGACACTTTTTCGTCGCTCTGTTTGCCGGGGTAATACTCAGGGGTTGGTCCTGGGTCGTTACAATAAATTTGTATTCACAAGAACAAGACTTCTCAAAATAAAAGATTGTGTGTTAAATTTCAATATTTATTTATTATTAAGTTGTCTTAAAACTAACAATGTTTATTCATTTATATTTGATATGTATAAAAATTATTATACCTGTTGTGGAAGAAAAGTTTATGGGTTATAGCTGTTATTATCTATAGACGTGTTCACGCCTATATATATATATATGGCTTAGTAAGTAGGAAAGGATCTAAAACGTGTTCACGCTTTATATTAGGTTTTAATAGCAGGATATGAACGTGTTCACGCTTATATTTGCTACTGGAAAGGATATAAACGTGTTCACGCTTATGTACGGTGGCTATAGGAGGGATAAAACGTGTTCACGCTTTATATTAGGTTTTAATAGCAGGATATGAACGTGTTCACGCTTATATTTGCTACTGGGAAAGGATATAAACGTGTTCACGCTTATATACGGTGGCTGTAGGAGGGATAACAAATCAAAGGAAAATTTGTTATGTAAGTCTCTGTTTATACTTAGCTCTGCGACCGACTTTGTATGTTGTGTTTGACTGTCCAAGTCCCTGGTACGTTCTCTTGTCTTCGAAAGTTGATAACGAGCCTCTGTCTGCTTCTGAACACTTTGCGTGTTGATCACTGACTGCCCTCCTCTAAGTAAATGCGTCTTCTTATATACGCATCAGACCAAACTTTAACGTAGCGCAAAGCTTAGTTTACAGCTGGCTTGGATTTTTGACGTCGTTGCTGTTTTGCGCTTTCGCCGTAGTTAATATGCGCGCGCATCAATTTTTACACAAAGCTCTTTGCACAAAAGCTTTCTTTGACGTTTCTTCTGTTGTGCATTTGTTTTGTTTTGAAACGTGTTTAGCTTAGTGTCGGTAGTGGCAGTTTTAAATATTTATATTTATTTATTAAAAATAAGATAAATATATAAAATACAAACAAAAAAGAGCATTAGTTTAGATAATAAATAAATAAGGTAGGTACAATATTTATTTATTTGAATATATTTTGCATTCTTTTAAATTTTCAATGCAATCGTAGGTTTAATTCATTGTGATGCAGTTGCGTACATGCGGGGGTGGCTTTTAGTAAGTTATTTAATTTTAATATATTATATAAAAATTAACCAATTTTTATTTCAGGTATTAGCTGCACACTAGTTATATGTAGGTTGGAAATTATTACAAAATTTCCATCCTTACATTTCCCTCCTTCTCCGAGGAAAATTAATTTGCCACTATCTGCCTGCATGATTTCTGTGCCGTTTCTTTGGGCTCTTGAATATTTTGAAAAATTTATCTTGGTGTATACTAACAAGATCGTAGTCCTTCTGCTGAAGTACATCTAAGTTATTCATCGGCTTCTGCAGTTTTTGGGTGCTGAATGGTTTTGGAATTTCTAGACTTAGTTCCTGTAATTGTATCAGAGGATTGTCTATCTTATCCTTCGGACGTGTGGAATCATTTTTTCCTTCTTCTGGCTGTTGCTTTCGTTGACTATCGTGGTTAATTGAAACTTGTTGCAATGATTGTGTCGGACTTGGGGTTCCTTGAGTCAATCGAATTCGTCTGGTATGATCTTTGATTACTGTAACCTTTTGTTGACCTTGTTGTGTTTCAATATCTTGAACTTGATGTTGTTCTACGTATCCTTGTGTATCTGGAATTTTAACTTGTGTTATATGGCGATTCCCCGTTGGATTGATTCTTTTTGGTTGATTAACTACCTGTGAATTTTTCTTGCTAGGACTTGGATCTTTGTGCCGTTGAATCTTTTGTTTTTGCGCTTTGATTACGCTTGGTTCTTTCTGTCGTTGTACTTTCTGTGTTTGAACTTGTAATATTTGATGATTTGGGGTGACTTGCTGTTGTTTAGATACTTCGAGATTTCCTTTGATAAATATAGGTTTTAACTGGTTTTGTAGTCCTTGTATTTCAACTGATACTATTTCACGGTTTGGTGTGACTCGCTGTTGTATAGATACTTTGGGATTTTGCTTGTTGGGTCTTGAATCTTGCTGTGGTTTGCACGCTTGGATTTGGAGCATACGTTTAAATTCTGTGGTTTGGTCCTGATTAAACGCTTTTAAGTTTTCTTTGAACAACGTGACACGTTGCGGTGTTTGGTGTACTGATACTTGCTTCGTTTGACTTTGAAATATTTCCTGATCTGGTGTAACTCGTGGTGGCTTAAATACTTCGGGATTCTTCTTTGTAAGTTTTGGGTTTACTTGTCGTTGTGTTTCTTGCATCTGTGAATTTCCTCTGATGGGCCTAATATTTTGTGATTCTTGCTTTGGTTCGCATGGTTGGACTTGCAGCATTTGTTGAACTTCTGTGACTTGGTTTCGATTGAATGGTTTTAGATTTCCTCTAACTGGCATGACATGTTGGATATTCTGCTGAGTTGATACTTGGTACATTTGATTTTGAAATATATCTTGATCTTGTGTGATTCGTGCTGTTACTTGCTTAGCTGTCGGCTGGTTGCGGTGCTGATTACTTCTCTGCTGGTTGAAAATAGGTGACTCGGAATTTGAACTGGGAATAAGTTTATCTTGTATCGGCATAGTAGGTACGCGTCTCACTGTATTTTCCCATAACATCGTTTGTGGATATTCAACTTCTATGCGACCAACTATCACTTCCTGTCGAACACCGCGTCGACTCATTTTATCCTGTTCGGCGCTAAGTTCTTCGAAGTCATCAGCTAATATTGTTAATTCTGTTAAGCTCGAAAAGTCTCGACGTTTGATGTACATTTGGTACTCTGTGCGCATGTTTCGGTATATTCGCTCCAATTGCGAATCTTGGTTCATGTCTGTGTGTCGCATAAGATATTTGATTTCCAGTACATAATCTTTAAAACTTTCTTGTTCCTTCTGAACTCGTGCTCGCACCTCGTCTTCTAATCTGTCGAAATACCTATGTGGAAGGAAAAATTTTAGAAAGTCCATCTTGAAGCTTGACCAGAGGTTCCAATGCTTATTGTTGTTGCGGTACCACATCAATGCTTTGTCTTCAAGCAGTATAGGCATCATTCTGGGAACTAAATTCACGTTGATGTCGTCAAGGTCTGCTACCTCTTCTATGCTTTCCACAAAATCTATTGGATCTATTCCTCCATTGTACTTTACAGACCATTTTCGTATCCGCTCCACGGTTTGTGCATACGATAAGTCCATGATGTGCTGCTTATGCGAACGTCTTGTATGTTTCTCTGTTGAACTGGCTTGAACGGATGAAAGTATTTAGATTTTATCTTTTGATCATGTTAGCTTGTGCCATGGTAACGTGGATATTACTTTGATTTAATTTTGAGAAGTCTGTCTGCTTTCGTATTTAAAATCTCCTGAACACGGTCATGCTTGATTTTGGCTGGGATAACTTCATTATTAAAAAAATCCTTGAACACTGTCCCTGCTCGGGCGCCAATTGTAACGACACTTTTTCGTCGCTCTGTTTGCCGGGGTAATACTCAGGGGTTGGTCCTGGGTCGTTACAATAAATTTGTATTCACAAGAACAAGACTTCTCAAAATAAAAGATTGTGTGTTAAATTTCAATATTTATTTATTATTAAGTTGTCTTAAAACTAACAATGTTTATTCATTTATATTTGATATGTATAAAAATTATTATACCTGTTGTGGAAGAAAAGTTTATGGGTTATAGATGTTATTATCTATAGACGTGTTCACGCCTATATATATATATATGGCTTAGTAAGTAGGAAAGGATCTAAAACGTGTTCACGCTTTATATTAGGTTTTAATAGCAGGATATGAACGTGTTCACGCTTATATTTGCTACTGGAAAGGATATAAACGTGTTCACGCTTATGTACGGTGGCTATAGGAGGAATAAAACGTGTTCACGCTTTATATTAGGTTTTAATAGCAGGATATGAATGTGTTCACGCTTATATTTGCTACTGGGAAAGGATATAAACGTGTTCACGCTTATATACGGTGGCTGTAGGAGGGATATACAAATCAAAGGAAAATTTGTTATGTAAATCTTTGTTTATACTTAGCTCTGCGACCGACTTTGTATGTTGTGTTTGACTGTCCAAGTCCCTGGTACGTTCTCTTGTCTTCGAAAGTTGATAACGAGCCTCTGTCTGCTTCTGAACACTTTGCGTGTTGATCACTGACTGCTTTCTTCTAAGTAAATGCGTCTTCTTATATACGCATCAGACCAAACTTTAACGTAGCGCAAAGCTTAGTTTACAG